AACTGATACAGGCAGCATAGCATTTGCCTTTTATCCTAAGAGCAAGTCTATATATTTTAATTTTGATCCAAGATGAAGTAAATTTTATTAGTTGGCTGGAGTTTAATCATGTCGAGGGCAAGATCTTAAGATCATTGGATTTGTCTGAAGCAATGTGTAGTGAACTATAATTGTAGCATCACTGCTCATCTTTGGCGTGTATGATTTGTTTTTCTTGTTAATATCTTAATGATTTTAACCTAATGCCTCCTGACAGCCGACTTGAGAGACAAACTTCGTAAATTCCGGGCTCATAGGAAGCTGAGGAAATATACATAACAGGTAATACACTGAACCCTAAATCAGGTGAATCCTGAAGGTGCAATTGGGATCCGTAGTGGTCTCAGGCTAGCTATTTTTTGTCTGATTTCATTTGGAGCATCAGTGCAGACAGTAAACACGTTTATATTTTTATTTTGGTTTCAGTGGCTTCAATTGTAAATAGGAATTATTGTTGGAAGCTGATAAACTGGACAATGGGAGACTACATACATACAGTAACAACAATCGTCTATATATGTATAACCGATGTGTGTGAATATTCATAATATGTACGGTACAGATGTAGTTTACCTTGGTGATGGAATATAAGTATGTTGGTCTATGCTTAATCAATTGATCATTGGGCTTGGGCTACTTATTGTGGACTGAATAACTATTTACATAATTGTGTTTTGGTGGTATATGTATGTTTTTGTGTGTGTAAAAATAATTATTTTCAGCCTGTTGTTTATGATATTTTAAAACATTATATTGTAATCGTCTTTTTGGATATGTTCAAATGATCAGTTTTTACATATTTTGTTTTTCTTATTATATTAAAGATCAGGATACTGGGTGATTATTTGGGACATGATCGTGTTGGTTTTTGTGTGAATTGAGTCGAATGACGTAGCAGCAAGGATTTTAGAAGTTGGTTAGCTTATTTGATCTTCATCTAGTCTCATCCATTATAAAGAGTTAGTGACAGCCATGAATCCATCAACATTATCAGCAGTGTCTTTTATATCCAACAATTGCAACTGATGAGCTCCCTCCAGACCATGGGATCCATTAATACCAAACCCCTTATCTTGAAGGGCGACTATGCACTGATGTTTGAAGGTGCCTCCTCATCTGACATTCACGATTGAATTCTCAAACCTTCCATTAAGAGAGCAAGATCTTCAAGGGATACATAATCCCACTCCATCTCATTGACGGAGGTTGAATGAAGTTTCTCAAATTTTTATGATATATGTATATCACGTTTATTATATATATATATATATATCACATATGAAAATAAACATTATGTAAGAAGATTATTTACATTGTGAATGTGGATCCTAACCCTATATATATAGTTATAGAAACCAATTAAATTAGAATCAAATAATACCGTAATGTTATAAATATTTAAATTTAAATAACTCAAATAACTCTACTCGAAAATGGTTGTTAAACCCTATTTTTAATTTTTTAAAATAATACGAAATGATTATAAGGTAATATATGTTTTGATAATATACACATTCTACAGATACAACTATATAAAACTACGACCTTGATTCTAATTTAAACAGTTTTCTATAACTATAACTATATATATATATATATATATAGGATTAGGTCCACATTCACAATGTAAATAATCTTTTATTTTACCACCGAAAGGACATAATGGATTCATGGTTAAACATTACTTTTGAGCAACAAATAAAAACTGCTTTAATCAAGTTTATTTATGGTAGAACGATCGCATGATCTTGATAAGATAAATAAAGAAATACATGATATTAGGCCAACAGAGTTTGATTTGATGAACTCGTTGGTTGGTCTCGATGATAAAAGTGAAAATTATCCTACTTAAAAGATCTAGATTCGAATAGAGGATGTGTAAATTGTTAATAGATTAAGAAAAATTTGAAACATATACAATCTTATAATCACCGTAAATTATTTAAATAAAAGAGTTTGATTCGATTGATATTATTGTTGGAACAAGATTAATGTAAAAAAAAAAGACTGCCATGAGCTAAATAAAATGAAGATCACAAATTAAGTGAGATAGATCGACAGCTTTGAAGATGATTGAGAGAATAGTGCCCGTTCCGTGTGTGTTGTCAGCCACGAAAGCTATAAATCTACCCAGAATTATCAATCTCAATTTCACATTTGTTTTAGCTTTTTATGTATCGAAATTCATCCGTATTCTTTTCTTTTCAAGCAAAATATAGCGAAGAGTGCTTTACTTCTTCTATTCTCGTTGATTCTGGTTCTATCAATCCAATCCACCGTAGGAGATGACGAAGAAGGGGACCAGAATACTTCAGAGTTTTCAGACGCCACCGGAGAACGCCTAGCAAATTCTTTACAAACTGCGTCCGAAAAAGTGAAGGATAAGGCCTCGTTATTGGCTGTGTGGCTGAGGAAAAGCTCACAAGGACCGTCATTTCCTCGGTCTTTTGGATCCTCGAGACTTGTGCCGATTGACGACGGTGCGGCGGATCAAGAAAGTGAAGGATCAGAAACTACCATTGACGAAGGAGGGTTACTACCACCCACATCAAATTCAAGGCCTTTTGGACCCGGAACACTTGACCAAATCGACAGCGGTGGGCTAATCCCGGAAAATCTCGCACCAGAAACCACCATTGACGATAGTGGGTTGATTCCACAAGATATCGCACCAGAAATGCCCATCGATGGAGGTGGGCTGATTCCACAAGATATCGCACCAGAACTGCCGATTAACGTAGGTGGACTGATTCCACAAGATCTCGAAGCAGGAGTGTCCACCGACAAGGGTGGGACAATGGCACAACATGAAGATCTCGCACCCGGAGTTTCCACTGACAAGGGTGGGATAATGGCACAAGATGCAGATCTTGCACCAGGATTGCCCATTGACGAAGGTGGGATAATGGCAGATACGCCCAGTGGAGAGGGTGGGTCAGAGGCAGAAATGCCCAGTAGCGAAGTTGGATCAGTGGCAGATATGCCGGAAGAAGAAGGTGGGTCAACGCCGGAAAATTAGCAAATGCATATTACTATTGTATGTTATGGAGTATCTTTGTATTTTCAGTTCTCTCGTCCACCAAATTTGGACCATACATATTTGTACTCACAATCACCATTAGTAGGATGATAACTAATAGAAAAAAAGGTTTAACAATAGTACACAATATGCAAATCAGTATGATGGTCCAAGATTCCCCTCTAATCAACTTGTGATTATTAGCAACAATAATAATTAGAATATCATTCCCTTCAAACTTATAAAATGATATCTTTCAAATATTGAAATTGATTGATTTTGCCTTCCTAGGCATGCATCAAAGATAGACTCTATAGGTTCTCGATTGAGACTACAAATAAACCAGTTGTAGTTTACGGTGTTATAGGGTATGGTTTGAGGGGGTGAATGAGGACAGTCGCTCCTTAAAAAAAATTAAAATTATTATATATTACATATTTTTTCTATATATTTAGAAAATTTGTTTTCGTTTTCATAAATTTAAAAAAATTGTCATTTTCTAAATATTTTATAAAACATCGTAGGCAAATTCCTTTCCCTAATTTCATTCCCCTTATTCTTATTGGTCGCCACCGCCTTTGTCGTCTCCCTTGTCAACAATGGCTTCTATCATCATTGTTATCGTCGGTCACTAGGATGATGGTGGATTTTAGGAATTTATGAGATTTAAGATTAAAAGTTAGAAATTTAAAATTTAATTTTTTTCCTTTGTCATAAATGGAGGTTCGATGGTGGCAACGATAATAACATTGGGGTCGAATTGGATGGTTGTTCGTCGACGACAATGGCAGTGAATGACGTGGGTAAATCCTAGAATTAGAGTTTTCAAAGTTTTGAGATTTTATTTAGACTTGAGAAAAAGTGAGCCTTTTAGAAATATAATAAATATTTTTTATTTTAAATAAAAATTTCAAAATTTTATAAACGCGATATGTATTATATAACATACTTTTTAATAGCCGTGACGGAAAAAGTACATAAATAATAACATTAGTAATATTAGACATCTAAATTAATCGAAAAAATTCTAAACCCCTAAATAAAAAAATGTAATTTAAATATTTTTTATATTAAGCTAACAAATATCTATCATATACCTACCTTCCAAATAAATAATCCCACCCTGCCTTGTATACACTAAAAGTATTCCATTTGTAGCGCTTTGATTTGAAATTCATAGGTGGACCAGTTTTGTCAAATACTTTAGATTCTATGAACAACATAAATTATTTCCTAATTTCCCAAAAAAAAAAATCATCTCCTAACAATTATTTGGGTAAACTATGTATTTAGTTATTTAACTATCACTTTAATTTTATTTTGATCACCAATTATTTTGATTTCATTTTGGTCTCGTACTTAAAGAATTAATAGAACTATTGATGTGATCTTTTTTATTTTTCAATGATGGCGAGGAATTACCTTATGGAGATACATCAGTATCACCATTTATTTTTTAATAGTAGATGACCAAAATGAAATCAACACGTAACATTAGTGATGGTTTTGAAACAAAATATTGGATGACAAAAACGGAACCAAAGTGATAGTTGGGTGACTAAATACATGGTTTACCCTAATTATTTTCATAGTTTTGTTTCGTCACGTCAAGACCTTTCCATATTTTTACGACCAAAGATTACAAAATCATACAAGATTACCTCACACAATGCCAACTGCCAAGCTCCTGTTGGTCGGGTTAACAGCGAGGACTGGTAGTTGCTGTTCCAATCAAACAGCTCCTCAGGCAATCAATGTCTGCATGCGATTCCCGTAGAGAAAAAAAAACATTTCTTCCTTCTGCATGATGATTTCTTTTCTAGAAAAAAATACATAAAGTGTTCTATTTTATAAAGCAAAAAACTTTTGTAATATCAGCTTTTATAAAACTTTGCTTATCTTTCTCTGGGTGATCAAAGAGCTTTTGTTCATTGAGAGAAAAAAAGAAAATTGGTATAAGAGAAAAAGAGGGGAAAAATATGAGTTTCAGGGATGATTGTGAAGACGGGAGGGATCTACGGAAGCCATTTCTGCATACCGGAAGCTGGTATCGAATGGGTTCAAGGATGGGCTCAAGTATGCTGGGTTCATCTCAAGCTATTCGTGATAGCTCCATCTCTGTTGTAGCCTGCGTTTTGATTGTGGCTTTGGGTCCTATCCAATTCGGTTTCACTGTAAGTTAAAATTTTCATTTTCACTGATTTTGATTTTGAGTTTTACTATCATTTGAAATGACAACTGGGTTTTCGTTGGTTTGTAGTGTGGATACTCTTCTCCTACACAATCTGCAATCGTCAAGGACCTTGGATTAACAGTCTCAGAGGTACAAATTATAACTTTTTTTTTTGGTTTGGTGAGTTGACTCAGCTAATAAGTCTTATTTTGAGGGCAGTATTCTGTATTTGGTTCTTTATCAAATGTGGGTGCCATGGTTGGAGCAATAGCCAGTGGTCAGATAGCAGAGCATATAGGGAGAAAAGGGGTAATCCAATCACTGATTTATCTTCACTGAATCACAGTTTTGTTTTAAATTTTGATTTGAATTTGGATTTACTAAGTTCAGTTTCTTAATTTTTCATTTCAGTCTTTGATGATTGCTGCAATTCCTAATATAATTGGATGGCTTGCTATATCATTTGCAAGAGTGAGTTCCTAATGATTATCTTATCCAAACCTGATTGTTTAAGCCTATACAATAAAGCTTGCTGCATTTTCCAGGATGCATCTTTTCTTTACATGGGAAGATTATTGGAGGGTTTCGGTGTGGGAATAATCTCATATACGGTAACGGCGAACTATGCTCGAATAATTAGGATTCGAATTCTGTAGCATAGCATTGCTGAGTGTATTGATTGTGTTTGCATGTACAGGTGCCTGTGTATATAGCTGAGATTGCACCTGAAAACTTGAGGGGAGGCTTGGGTTCAGTGAATCAGGTTGGCACTGGATCTGTTCACCATGAGTGTTGTTGATGAATAATTGAATATTCACTTGTTGCACTACTGAAGATATGCATATTATATTATGTAGTTGTCTGTCACCATTGGAACAATGTTGGCGTATTTGTTGGGACTTTTTGTAGAATGGAGGATACTTGCAGTTGTAGGTAATCATCGGAACGCTGTCATTCTCATGACCGCAATCATCATTTGTTGAAAACATTTGCAGGATTCTTTGGTAGGAATGAAATTGCTAATTCTCTTCTTTGGCAGGAATTATTCCTTGTACGGTTTTGATACCAGGTCTATTTTTCATTCCGGAATCTCCGCGATGGCTGGTAAGCTTGAGAAGTAGGTTACCAGGTTTTAATTCCTCAAGCATGCTCACATAGATAGTTATGGTCATCTGATTCTAATCCCCTTCCCTGATTTTTAGGCGAAAATGGGAATGATGGAAGATTTCGAAGCTTCTTTGCAAGTTCTCAGAGGTTTCGATACTGATATTTCTATCGAAGTGAATGAAATCAAGGTAAATAGTAAGCAGTTAAACAGCTTGTTCTTCAGTTGCACGTCTTTCAACTTGGTTTCAAAACTATGATTCATTTGTATGCATTGTTCTGTTTTAAATTAACAGAGATCTGTAGCTTCAACAACTAAAAGAAGTACAATTCGGTTCACAGAACTCAAAAAGCGGAGATATTGGTTTCCATTGATGGTAATTTCAATTGCAATAACATGAATTGGTCTAGGTAACAACCACACTATTTCGAGTTCTGATGGACCAATATCTTTCAGGTCGGAATCGGACTACTTATGCTGCAACAACTATTAGGCATTAATGGTGTTCTATTCTATTCCAGTACCATTTTCGAAGCTGCTGGTAAGCTTAAGCTTGTTTACACATTATGGTATTTAATCATTAGTGTTGGTAAGCTGAAGCCTGTTACACAGTATGTCATTAACCTGATGATGTGAACCTTTGAGCAGGAGTTAGATCTAGCAATATAGCTACTTTTGCAGTTGGTGTCATTCAGGTATAGCTTGAAAAAGTACCACCAGCCTTTTTTTTCTTCTTTTCATCGGAATTTTGGTTCACAACGACAAACTTTGAATTGGAAATATTGTGAATGTTGAAATTATGTTGCGGTTAGGTCATTGCTACTGCTGTAACCACATGGTTGGTGGACAAAACAGGGCGTCGGCTTCTGCTTATTGTAAGTTTACTCTAATTTTACTCATAAAGTGCATAACCGTCAATGTCACTCGCCCCTTAGTTTACTAACATCAAAAGAGATTATGGTTTCCCTTTAACTTATTCCAGGTCTCCACTTTTGGAACAACTCTCAGCCTCCTAGTTGTTGCTGTCTCATTCTTTTTAAAGGTAATAATAATGTGGATCCTTATGTGGAAAATACCCCAACACAAACCGAAATCCGTACAGGATTCAATCTATGTTACTCAAACTCGAGTGCGGGTATTAGACTAGAGGACCTAAATTGTGACCATTTTGATGATTGATCCAGGATGTAGTAGCAAGTGATTCTAGCCTTTATAACATTATGGGCATCTTGTCAGTAGTTGGAGTTGTGGTATGTTACTTTTCCTTTTTTTTTTCCCTGATACTGCTGTTGTTAAGAGGCAATTTGTCTAACTGGTCCATTTTTTCCAGGCACTGGTGATTACTTTCTCTCTAGGAATGGGGCCTATTCCTTGGGTGATAATGTCGGAGGTACCAATCCCTCGACTTCATTCGATTCTAGTACAAAATAAGCTTCATCTTAACAAAATGACTTGTCCACCATGATCTCACTTTAAACCTTTGCATCTTTTAATATGCTCATTTGCTCACTGCAGATTCTTCCAGTAAATATAAAGGGTCTTGGAGGAAGCATAGCCACATTTTCCAACTGGCTCTCTGCGTGGCTAGTTACAATGACTGCCAACCTGCTTTTGGGCTGGAGCAGTGGAGGTATGTATTTGTGCCACTAAATGATACCAACACAAACACGATACGAATATTATCAACAATGACATGAACACAAACACGGTATGAATATTGTTAAACTTCCGCGGAGACCCCGGTGGGAGCTAAGCTACTAGTACTGAGTAGGAATTAACTGAAGCTCTCTTCACCTTCAACAGGAACCTTTACGATGTACATGCTTGTAAGCGCGTTCAGTATCGTATTTGTGTCTCTTTGGGTCCCCGAGACAAAAGGCAAAACACTCGAAGAAATCCAACAGTCTTTCGGATAAGCTTTTCTTCTTCCTTTTCCTTAGAAGAATCCAATTCCTGGCCTTGAAATGATCTCAATCAGAGTTCATTAGCTGTAATTTTTTTGTTTATAATCATCTTTCTTTGGCCTTGAAAGCATTTCTGGCCAGCAGCATCTATTGTTCCTGCCTTGTTATTGCTAGACATTACATCAAGTTCGAAATTCGAATAACATTGGTTCAACTAAATGGGTACCTCACTCTTCATTGCTACGTAACGAATAGGTGTTTCGAGTAGCAGGAAAGTAAAGCATCACTAATCAATTATTGCCATTGTGGTCCTTTCCCACACCATAAATGTATTATACATCAATGATATCTGTAACAAGGAAATACATAGAGAATTATAGTACAAAATGAGCAAGTCCAGACATGCAGGAACTGCAAAAGATGAAACACAATGGTATCCCAAATTTGACAACATGCTGAGAAAAATGACCAACTAAAAAGTACATATCAAGGAAATACTACGTGTAAATGTAGAATCGAACTCGAAATGGTACTGGCTAGGTGCTTAATTTCACAGGGTACTTATCGATGCAATCTTCCCAGGGACCATTACTCGACGGCTTCACATTCCAAAGTGCTTGCCAGACTGCACTATTACATTTGAAGCCACTTCCAAATGCAATTTGCCACACACGGTTGCGATTCCGAATCCTCCCCTTAGCCTCGATGTACGCCAATTCATACCAAATGGAACTCGAAGAAGTGTTTCCGAAACGATGGAGAGTCATTCTAGAAGCCTCCACATGTATCGGTAGCAGCTGCAGATTCTTCTCCAGCTCATCAATCACAGCCCTCCCACCAGCATGTATACAGAAATGATCAAATGCCAACTTGAAATCTGGAATATAAGGTTTGACACTCGCATTGAACAACTTCTTCACCAACAACGTTGCGAAAAACAAAAGCTGCTCGCTGATCGGTAACACAAGAGGACCCAAGGTTGTGATATTCGTCTTAAGTGCACCTCCGGCAATTGCCATCAAATCTTTAGACAGCGAAACACCGGTCTTCCCCGCATCATCCTGTTCCTGATACACGCACCTAAATGCCTTATCTTCTGCTCCTTTATGAGTCCTCACCACATGAATAAGCTTATACTTAGCTCGCCTCCTATCGTTCGACTTGTTCGAAAGCAAAACTGCGGATCCCCCTACTCGAAACAAACAATTGGGTATCAACATGGACTTCTTATTCCCAAAATACCAATTCTGAGTAATATTCTCAGTACTCACAACAACAGCATAAGTATTCCTATGCACCTGCAGCAAATCTTTAGCAAGATCAACGGCAATGACACCAGCACTACACCCCATCCCACCTAGATTAAAACTCCTAATATTTCCCCTTAGCTTATACTTGTTTACAATCATAGCCGACAAAGACGGCGTCGGATTAAACAAACTACAATTCACGACAAGAATACCGATATCCTTGGGGTTGACATTCGTGTTCTGGAAAAGAATATCTAAAGCCCCATACATAACCTCCTCGGCTTCTTCCCTCGCAGCCGCCATAGACGGCGTTGGGGGAATATTATGCATTGCTTGAGGCACATAAGTCTCTTCCCCCAGCCCCGAGCGTTCCAAAATCTTGCGCTGGAACTCGAGGGAGGATTCATTGAAATCACCGGTCAACCTCGAGTGCTCCAAGAAACTACCGTATGGGGCTTTAAGATGGTCGGGAGGACGGTAACAAGAATAATCGACGAGGTAGACGGGTCGGGGTCGGGTCATGATGAAGACAGTTAACCCGAAGACTAGAATAGCAGAGCAGGTGATGATGCTGACTAGATTGTATTGAAGGTGATGCCATAACTGGCGTAAATCATCAAGATCCATTTGAGAAACTTGGATCGATATCGCAGCGATCAGAGGGATAAAACAGAGGGTCAAAAGATTGGAAATCAGGTAGTGGTAGCCAAGTTTTACGTACTTGAGATTAACGCTTTGAAGGAAATCCGGGAGCCTTCGAGATTGTTGGATCTGAACACCGACTGAGCCCGTTCCCGAGCCACCGTTGGCGGTGGCTACAATCCCTCGGTTCATGGTGCTGCCGGCCGGATCGTTTAACAGAAATGAACCGGGATATGGTAGTCACGGGAGAGTGGGTAGTAGGTGTGTTTTTGGGACTGACTGACAACAGACCCCAAAGGATTAAACTTTAAATAACAGAACAATGCTAATAGTGTTCTGGAAAGTTTCAAACTTTTTACTTTCTCGAGAAAAAAAAATTGAGGTGGGAAATGGGAATCTAATCTAAAGACTAAAGAGTGATCCTTGAAGGAGAAAGTTTTCAGCTCTCGTCATTGTTAAGACTCGTGTGGTTGCTATTATTGAAGTTTTTGTTTTCTTCCTGCTGAAAATAAAATGATTTTTCTTCAGAATTTAGTGTTAAAATCAATGTGAATTTTCGTGGCTTCGGATGTTTTTTGTTTTTTACTACTTTCCTTTGGCTACAATTATTGAATCCAATTCATTCCTGAAATTTTCGAAAGTTCAAATTCAATGGTTAGATAAAAAAATAATAAATTCTTTCAAGATGAGATCATTTGGTTTGAGAAAATCTAGCCGGCCATTGACCACGCTCCATGAATCATTTCTCTTGAATTTGCAAAAGTCGCCCGATAACTACGGTGGTAGATGAGTTAGCCGAATTAGAATTTAGAATACTACTGACTTTTATTCATTTTAAAAAGTTTAAACTTAAAATCGAGTTTAACATCTTAAAACTACTGGTTTGAGAACTTTTTGAATTAAATGTCAAACAATTCGTTTCGACTCGTTAAGAACTCAAGTTGAGTCTATTCAATTTGAGTGCAGACCAAATTTCAACAGAGTCAAATTTGCAATATGTATGTCTCATTTACAACTCTACTAATAACTAGCTTTTGACGATGATTTTGGCTATGGACGACTTCGACAGGCACTATGAACCAGTCAAATATTTAGCATAAAAGGGAAGTGTGATCACTTAAAAAGTAATTTTAAGACAATACATGTGAATGAAGTTGCAACAATGGAATCAAATGGTGCGGAACCTAGAGAGCGTCCTTTATAAGTGTACCCGTCAGAGGTTTCGGCAATCCCATCACACTGTCTATCGTCCCTACCTGCAAACCAAAGATACCAAAACCACATCTTATCTACCTCTCATGTCCAGAGAAAATAAAATGCTTTTAGCATAGTGAAAATTCAAAAGTTGCCACACTAAAAGATGCTCTTCACATTGGATTCATGAACATCCGCGTTCGGTACATATCCGAATATGAACATGGGGATATATAATGCTCCAACAAACCCTTCAAATGCATGAAAATCTAGGAAGAGCATACCCTTGTACCTAAGCCGAGAAACATATCTTTTGAAAACTGTTTATCGGTAATGTCAAGGCTTTTCGGCAGTATTCATGCATTAGTTATGATCATGTGTCCAAATTTGCCTATAAAATATGGAGCAAGAACACAAATTTTTGCCGCAAATTTTACGAAGCAGAACATCTTAGACCAATGTAAACTTTAGATTCACATAAATAATAAAACTAACCACTTGTTTAACGTATGGCCTTATCAAAGGATTTTCAATCAAAAGTCCTCCAGCAACATGTAGTACATTCCCTTCCTCAATCTGGATCAAGTAAAGAAACAATGACATCGCCCTGGCCGTTAGAAAAAGGAGGGGAAATTTTTCAAAAGAAAAAAAAAGAACTTACCAATTTCTCAATGATTTCCTCTGGTATTTGATTGAAATATATCTGCACGACATTAAAATGAAAAATTATAACAATAAAACAGTGTTAATCCACATCATCAACATGCTTTTATCACTGTTTAAGTACTGTCATGCTCAAGTGACGACAATTGAATTAGCATACTTCCAGGCAGCTTCCCATGCATGCACAGCGCAGATCTCGATAACGACTGTATTTTTACCCCTTAGGGAACACGATGAACATGGTGACAGAAACATGCATAAAGTAGGTTGAGTAAAACATGTCCTTCCTTACTATTTCATATTTTTGGGTTACTATAGGTTGCTTCATGTACGAATAATTTGAAGAAAGCTGAAGTATAGTCACCACAACCCCCCCACCCAAAAGGAATGAAAGGAAATTTGAATGAGTGGGGTCCAAACCAAAACATTTTCATCTATTGTTCTATGCATTGTAACTTTTATACTTGAAATCAGTGTTACAGTATGTTCTAGGGTTCTTAAAAGACACCGAACACAGAACTCTGATGAATTTCAGTGACTTTCCAGTAAAATTGTGGTTGCCTATAGAACAAGTTCGTCGAGATCTAACAGTCTATGCGGCAGTTTCATTTGGTTGAGTAATTTAGGAGAATAGTTCTTTAAATTCATTGACTCTGGGTTTTAAGAAGTCAGCATTTTTGTCAGTCCTCGGATGGTTTTTCTAGTATAAATGTCTTCACTAGGTACTTGACACAGCTAGGAAAGAACATAAATAATTAATTAAATTGCATGACACCAAATCATAAGTTTATGATGCAGTGGTACTCCCGATTCATTAACATCATAAAAGTCTGTTAATTCAAGCAAGTGCTAAGATTTCTTGTTTAGCAAATCCAAATAAAAAATGAAAGTAATCAATACCTCCACTCTATCCCATTCGCCTTTTCTGAATCCAGTTTTAAGGTTTGTAACTAGAACAGATCCCACAGTTGCAGCATGGCCACCCGAATAGCCTGCAGAATGGTTAAACAGTAAAGTTCTAAAAGAGTAGAACAGTAGGAACTGGATCGAGAATATTAAGGCAAACCTTTTAAAAATTCACGTGCTTCATCCGCATTGGCTGGTTTTTCCCTTATAACACCTTCATAGACCACCACCTCCAGATCATTTAACAATAACAGTGAGGTATAGAAGTAGAAGAATTATGTTTCCTAAAATATGAAAATGTTAAATGTGCCAACACTTACGAGCATGAATTATCACCAATTGCCATGTATCATTCAGGCAAACAAAAAATGCATCAAGGCACAAAAAAAATCAGCGGAAGATAAGCCGGCTCAGCAGTCATGCATATCTTACGAGTATTTGGTTCCTAAACAGAGAAAGCACTTCTACATGGAAGAGATGGCAAATCCGGATAATTGTGAGACTTTGGCCCATTAAAAGTATTGAAAAATTAAAGCCAAAAGACTTCACACTAATTATGAAAACGGAGCAAATCCATTGCAGCATCTACTTAAGGAAGCATTAAATTAAAAGAACCTCGTTAAAGGTTGAAGAAGGAAACTGATTCACAAATATATGGTTTAAGCATCAACTTTCTTCCAAACAGCCAAATAACATTTATAAGAGAAGGTTAGCACGTGCAACAAAGGCTATATGCATAATTAAACATTCCGGGATAAAGCATAACCAAGGAATAGATTTTTACTTGATCACAAGTAATCAGTAATGTTGGCTCGGCTTCCTTTACATAATCACCAATGGGTAGCCTCTGTAAGATAGCATCTGCCTGAAAATTTTCAATCCAGTTAAGCCTAAGCAACGGAATATATGAACACAGTACCATGCAGCAGGCAACAGAAGCAGTGGAAACAATGAATAAGAAAGACTGCATATAAATGCTCCAAAGAGGGAATACACAAAGGCTGCAGTCTGAAAGCTTAAGTTGTGGGAAACTTGATCCATCTAGGTCTCTTGATTAGGCGTACTTCCTTTTTATTCTTTTGTAATAGATCTACCATGGATCAAAACCAGGATTTTACTGAGAGAAATGTGATTCAAACTAGCCCATTAGACTTAAGTTGCAATAAAAACTTGATCGGAGCCGTCATTGGCACTTATGCCACAGATAATGAAACAGATTTACCAGCTCTATTGAACTTGATCACTGCAAGCTTGTAGTTCTGATACAATGGAATCGATAAAAGAAACGTGAAAAATCCCCTTCAATTTTACAATATTAACACTAAGAAAGCACAATAAAGAGAAGAAAAAAACAATATTAAACATTGCTGAAAGCAATAAATACAAAATCGGTTATAGACTCTAAATCTTGTCCCGTGATTTCAAGCAATCATTCCAAATAAGCAGCGCAAAATTAAGTAAGAAGAGAACCTTTGCTTCAGCCAGAGCCATGACCAACTCCTCCGGCTTCTCCTTTCTGATAGTCTTCTCGTCAATATCTGCACTCTGCCAAAAAAAAAAACCAACAAAACTGAAACTTTTTTCCTTAAAATATCAACATTTGAATTAAAATTTCCTAGTAATAATGAAATTTACCATGAGTGTGAATTCATATCCCATTTCAGCTAATACTGTACGACGGGGTATGGAAGATGACCCCAATATTATCTGCATTAAAACAACTATCAATCAATCGAAATGTTCTTTTTCTTCTTGAGTTATTGGTATAAATTATTTTTAAGTCAAGCAACTAAAACAGAGATATTTTCAAGTAAGCGAGGATTTTGAGCGTACCTTGACCTGAGAAGTTTTGTGTTCCATTATGACTTTGAGTTTGGTCTTTGCAAAAGTGGAGAATGGAGAAACGGCAAAGAAGGAAGAAAAGAGACCTGAAATCGTGACCCTGGTCCCAAGCCCTAATCGTCCGCTATGGACCAATAAAGCCTAGTCGTGTTCTTTTCAAATAGTATTTTGTTATAAAATTTAAAATTAATCGATTTAAATTTTGAGTTATTAAATTTTTTATTTTATTATTTGATTCAAATTTAAAATTTTATAATTTTAATTTATAAAGTTATGATTCAAATTAAATTAATTCAATTTTTCTAAAACTGAATCGAATATTAATAGTATTTTGTTCACTTCAAACCCTAATATTGCAGACAGCACAATTTTGACACTCGTGATACTTGAAACTTGATATACAAGGGTAAGTTTTCCAAATAAATTTATGAACTTAAAAATAAAAAAAATATTTTTACAAAATAATTTAGTGATATTAAAAGAATAATTGATTTGCTAAACATCTAATGAGCTCGTGTTTATAAAATATTTCAGTTGTAAGTTTGGAGTGAGAGACATAATCTCATTTTACAAATTGGTTTTACAAGTTCATCATGTTTCGAGAGAAAGAAAAATATATTTTAAAATTACTTGAGTGTCATTCTGACTCAAAATTGTTGTGTATCTGTGTATATGTAGGATCATATGTTCAAATGTGTGAAAAATTTTATGTATATTGTTGTTCGGTTCTGTATTCAGCGTTCAAGCTATTACCGTACCAAACTCAGGTATGTGTTTTGATTTCGAT